ATTGTCATTCTTACTCATGTTCATCAATTGATCACTGTCTGGAGTCACGTCCAAATTATAATTGTATTGCTTCACGAAAGCATTAGCTAAGTTTCTCCAAGATTGAATACAATTCCTTTGTAGCTTCAGATACCATATCAGGGATGCCCCAGATAAGCTTTCTTGAAAGCAGTGAATCATCAGCTTGTCATTGTCAATATGAGCAGTCATCTTCCAACAACACATCGTCAAATGGTATCTTGGACAACTAACACCCTTGTATACTTCAAAGGCAGGCATCTTGAATTTTAGAGGAATAATTACGCCTGGTACTAAACATAGGTCATGAGCATCAAGACCAGATGCATTAACTTCTTTCATAACCCTCAATTGTTCTTCAAGATCACGAAATCCTTTCTGAATAGCTGCAAATCTAGGATCATCCATTTTCATCTTAGTACGAAAGTTATGAAGATTTGGAATATGCTGTGGAAGCTGGGAATCTCTTCTATCAACTTGAACAACCAGGTTATCTCGCACATGCTGAGATTGTGTATGAACATCCACTTGTTGAACATTGTCCTCAGAGGGAATATCAAATATCAGATTAGTCCTTACTCTGAAACCAGTCATAGGATCCATATCTTTTGTTCTCGTTACTATCCTTAAGTAATACTTCGAGCTTGGTTAGATGGTCAAGATGTCAGCTGACAAGACAAAGACAAAAGCCGGATGAGGAAGTCGAGGAGAAGAGACACATGCACATGCCAAATGCCAAATGCAGGATGCTATGCAAAATGCAGAAATGAAAGGTTTCATGGAACTCAAGTATTTATAAACATTACAGAATTCTAAAGAGAAAATTCATTTATTATTTTTTTAACAGATTACAAGTGAATATTCTTAGAAGAGTCCTGCCATGATAGTTAAATAAAAGCTAATACATCCCTGAGGAAGTCCTTCATCGCGCTTGTTTTTTTGTTGTTCTCGTTGGACTTTCTTGGAGATAAGTTTTGTCGATGATTAACGTCTAAAGAGTAGTCTGATAGAGGAAAATAAATCCTCCATCTTTCTTCTCTTCTTGCTGGAAGAAAAGGAAGGAAGAAAGCCCTTGTTTACTTGGATCTTCAATATTGATGAAAGTCGTTTTTACTTTTGTTGATCTTCAATGATAATGGAAGCCTCTTGTATTTGCCTTTTGAGTTTTCTTGATCAGTGTCCTTAACTTGCTTAGGTCATCCAAGTTAGGACTCTTAAAAGAATATTTTAAAATATTTTCTTTTGTAATCCCTATTGGTTATATAATGTTTATAAATAAACTCAGGATTCCATGAAACCAATGCAATATGATGCTTTATGGATGCAGCAAACACAGGTAAGCACATAAGGACACAAAGATAAACAAACAAGAAGATCCTAGGTTTGCAACGAGCCTGGGGCCAAAGGGTATACCCATTCCCAAAGGACGTGGACTAAAGGAAGATTGTACCTGCAGAACAAGGTTCTAAAGAGGGTTCCCAAAGTCATTAGTCCATCTTTTGGATATTATCAATTTCCCGACTAACTCGGTGGTTAATAATATTCTCAAGAGAACTTCTTTTGAGTGTAGAATCGCGTAGCACTATTTTGGGACTACTCCCTCATAGTCCTCGCACTACGTCCTAATAAAGGCCAAAGTGGGGTTAAAGGTAACTACGGTCCTCAGTATCATGGACTCCAATCGAAAATAGTAAAAGTTTTCACAACTATACTCGTTCAACCGAACCATTTTAAAAAGGGTCTCAACTGAGCGGTGATTCTTGAGTCAACTTGGTCGGGACTCACTCCCTATAAGCCTCGTCGAATATATCACCATCCTATCATAATTTCACTCAAGTCCGAGTGTAGGACTTTGTCTCACCACTCAAAGATATCATCCCAAAAAGCAATAAAACAAATATACAAATAAGCAATTAAGCAAATATATAAAAAGCATAATAAACAAGTTAGGGAAACCCACTGAAGAGACTCCCTGGTGAAGTCGTCATTTCTGTCGCGGTGAAATTTGGATACCAAGCTATTGATTAACTTGAATCTTAATTCATTTGCAACCGAACTTTAATTTGTCCAAAGGAAGGGAAAAAGATCGAATTACCCACAATGCAATGCAAATGCACAGGTTAAAGAGTTATAGGTTCGAGGGTTGGTTAAACTTAGGGAAGGTGCTAGCATCCTAAGCTTTTGTAGTACTCTACAAGAACCTCTTGTTTTATGTTGTTTATTGCTAAGGTTTATCTGCTTAAGGATGAAAGACCTAGGGGTTTATTTCTAAGTATACTCGACAAGATATCGCATCTTGTGCCTACATATTCTGACGGGAGTGGAATCAGAGTATTTGTAGTTCCCCTAAAGGGTTTGAGGAGTTCTTTGACTGTGGTCAAAGTTCCTACGGGATAAGGTAGTTGATTGATTGATTTTAGGAGAAAAGATGAGTTGCCATTTTAAGGGAGATTACTTGACTTAACCGCTACAACTTTGTAGGAAAATAGTCTTTGCATCGTCTTAAGAGAAGGGCTCAAGCACTCGGAATGTCAACAAGTACGCCTCTATCTCTCCTAAGGTAAAGTCCCTACATATTGATTGAATTGTTATGGGGTAGGAGTTTTATCTCGCTTAAGATGATTAACATCTTATTCTCTAATGTGTTTGAAAAGTTTGATATAAGTTGAATGTGTTTGTTTCTATGTTGTAAAGATAAAAGGTCCTCCTTATGGGGTATGATCTATCTTCGAAGATCGACTTGAATGGGATCAAGGATCAATGGGGAGTATCGTGCAAATGAGATGCATACGCACAATTGTTTAGGTTATATGCAGATTCTTCCATTGGACGCTTATGCAATGCGATAAGATAAATACGGTAAATGTAAATTGCGGATAAAATAAAAGCAGGTAAATAAATCCATACACAAACGCATGAAAGCGTTAAGTGAGTGTGTGAATTGTGCATATGTGAACGGAATCGGAGCGAGGCGTTACGATGTTTGATTAATGATGGGGTATTGGTTTTGGGTGAATTGATTGTATGAGAAGAGTTATTAGGAGATGATTAATTTTTAGTAAAATTTTGAATTATAAATTAATTAAGTTTTGGATAGAAATAATTTTATATGAATAATAATTTAGTAAATAAAAGGTTTTAGTAAGTAGAAAAGTTTTTTATTTAATATTATAAAATAAATGCAAGTTAATTAAAAAAAGAAACATGCTTCTTTATTAAATAAGATAATTTTGGTTATCATTTGTTTTACTAAATAAAGATTATTTTAAATATGAAAGTTTTTTTATTGAGAAAAATGAACAAATTTATCATATCATTATCTAGTAAAGAAAGGTTATTGAGGCTGATTAAAATTTAGTAAAATGATTATTTTAGTTAAATGGGTGAATTAAAAGATACAGTTAATTAAAAGGGAGGGTTAAACGGTTTTAAAAAGATTAAGGGAGGTTGATTAAGGGTTGAGTTAGTTAACGGTGGATTAAAAGGGAGATAAAGGGTTAATTAGTGGGGCGTGTGATCGTATGGTGTGTGGGACATGAGGGCGTATGGTAGGCGAGCGAGGTGGACGCATGATAATGATCTGATGAGGGATCGTACGGTGATGACGTGAGGGTTCGCAATGTTGTGTGTGTGATTGGTGTGCAGGATTACAATAACAAAATTACAACAATCAGAGAAAATCCTAAATCCCTCTATCCTCTTTCGTCGTCGCTTTGTCCATCTTCCTCTCCTATCACGATTTCTCTTCTTCTCGTTTTCGTTTCTTCGCATCTCCTCCTCCCTCTCCATCAATTTCTTCTACGATTTCTACCTTCTTCTCCTTTTACATGAAAAGCCTTGAATATAACCTACATAAAAAACATAGTTTAGACAAAACAATAAAAAAGAAGGTTACGAGGAGGACGACGACGGCGGTCCTATGCTTCGGCGAAGTCGGCGATGGAAGGGAGGAGTTCGCGGCGGCGTGGCGATCTCCGGCGACAAAATGCTTTGCCGACGACGGATTTGCGGCGGAGTTTGAGAAATAGATAAGTCTCTCTCTCCCTTTGATTTATAGGGTTTCAATTTGGGGATTTTTCTAGAGTGCTATGTGTTTCTGGGTTACTGTTAATTTGGGATCTTCGAATGTGCGGATTCTGTGTAGGTTGTGAGTTCTATGTACTTCTACTCTGTGAATTTGGGCGTGAATTTCTGTGTACTTTGAATCTCTGAGCCTTCCTCTTATAGTCTCCACTCCACGATCCCTGTTAAAACCCCATAAAGGAAGCGTTGCAGGTAGTAACTCATATGCAGCCGGATCATGTTATCTTTGAGTGTGACGCGCAATTGGTGGTGCAAGCGTTACACAATAACTATGGTGGTAATTATAAGTTTAGTTTAATTATCTCTTGTATTAAGAACCTTCTAGTTACTCATTCCAATTTTGAAGTAAAATTTGTTAAACATCAAACGAATTCGATTATCCAGTATCCACATGTTAACTAAATTGACCGATTCTTGACCTAGACATAATATTCTCCATTTGATTTTTCTTTATATTAAACAACTTTTTAATAATATGAATTGAATTTGCTTGGGTCTTAATTGACCAGCTTAGTTTAATTTTGGACATAACGCATATTAAATTAAAATGCAAATTAATTTCATCCTATAGTTTATATAGTGCCTTTGCACATGTTACTATAAGAGACAGACACGGTGACTCCAAGTCCCCACATGACAAGAAGCAACAAAAAGTCAAAAAGCAAAATCGAATCTATTTTGGGTCAGACGTTGGGAAGCAAAGAAGAACACGTACTTCTTCTATTAGTGTCACATTTTACAGCTCCAAACTTGCAGAAAAAGAAACAACGCGGTAGCATAAATAAACAATTGACACCAACTATAATATATCCATAAATAAATAATTTAATTTAATTCTTTTGCTAAACAAAAATTCATATACTAATACAAATTAATTTCATAAAAAGTAAAAAAAAAAGCTACAAAAAAGTAGTCCCAGCACGACCATGATGCAACAAATAATGCGCAATTTGATCTCTAGCTTTCAACGAACTAACCGAACAAACACCATCCTCAACAACGTTTTCATCATCAACAACATCAAATTTCCACTCATCATCCATTTCTTCATTCATAATCTCACAAACATTATGAAGAACACAACAAGCTCCAAGAACAATAGGCAAATCTTGTAACTTAATCTCTGTCCTCTTCTGCAAACATCCCCACCTCCCTTTCAGTCTCCCAAACGCTTCCTTACCAACTCTCTCAATTTCCTCAAGCTTCTCATTAAACCCATGTTGTGTCCACGTCAGATTCTTATGCTTGTAAGGCACCAAAACCCAATCCAGAACTGGATAACCCGAATTTCCAACTATCCAAATATCTTTCAAGTTACCTCTTTTAGCTCTCTCATATAAAGCACTTTTTTCCAAAACTTCACTGTCTGGCATTGAACCGGGCCAACCAATACACACATCATTAAAAACCCCTTTCGAGTTAACCACTCCTTGAACCGTTATTGAATAACTCGTTTTTTGGTTCCTTTCAGTGTGTTTCTTGTTGTAATACAAAGCAACATTCACTTTAGGTGCAATTATAGGTATATGAGTGGTGTACATTGTGCCACCTACATTCGGAATACCAAAAATACCCTCGAAGTCTCTTTTCGTTTTCTGCATTGTTTCTTCGTTTGGCCAACGGAGAAACTTCGGCATTAGAACGGTTCTTATAGCGGAACAAACTTCCAACACAAGTTTATGACATGTGGATATTCCTAAACCGAATTTCTTCGAAACTAGCCGGAGCGGGTCACCGGTTGCGAGGCGGTATATGCAAACCGCGACACGCTGGCGAACCGGAATAGCTTCGCGGAGTGTTGTGTTTTTCTTTGTGACTGAAGAATCGAGCTCGTTGCAGATCATGTTGAATGTTGATTTACTCATTCGGAAGCATCGTCGGAATTCGTCATCCGGGAAGTTTTCACGGTTGCAATTCTCCCACCAGTTGTTAGACCGGTCTTTTACCCATAGGCGCCGTTGATGCGGGTGGTTACTTTCTTTGGATTCTGAACCGGTTTGGGTTGAACCGGGTTGGTCTGAACCGGATGCGATGGAGGAAGCAGTTGCGATAGCAGTGAGACGGGCTTTTTTGGATTTGGTGTGATGGGATTGATCTAAGTCGGTGTAATGGTTTTGAAGTTGTTCCATGTAGTTGTTCATGGTTTGGGTTTGGTTTTTGAAGTTGGAATTGAACATGGCTTTGTGTTGTTGTGAATCGAGTAACCGGTTTTGTTGTTCTTTGGTTTCTTCTTCTTCTAAGAGAAGTAGTGAAGCTAGGATGTCTTTAATGTTGTTGGTGTTGTTGTTTTGCTTTTGTTGTTTGTGTTGTCTTTCTTGGTTGGGTTCGTGGTTGTCTTTGACATTACGTTTCTTCATGTTGTTGGGATTGTTGTTGATGATGTCTTGGAGGAGGTTATTATAGTCGTCTTGTGTGAGAACTGGAAGATGAGTGCCGATTTCCATTGAATTTGAATGTGGACGGTGTTGTTTTGTGGGGTGAGATAGATTAGAATGGTTGAAGTTTGAATGATGAAAGTTTGAGAGATTTATATGGAAAAGGAATTAGGAAGCGTGTGAGATAGTGTGAACGCGATTGGATTGGGTATGGGGAGTTTGACGGTGACTCTGACTGGATGGTACTTTTTGGGTTTGGAACGATCATTGTTTATTTGGGGAACCGTGGGTTTTTACGCGGTATTGGATTTAGATTTTCTTTTTACACAAAATAATACTAATAATAATAATAATTATCACTTCCATTATTTCAAATTTTACAAAAAAAATAATATTAATAATTATTATTATCACTTCCACTATTTCAAAAGAACCATGCTAGTAGTAATTTGAATTTTTTTCTTCAAATAATTATATTTTTCTTAGTTAAAATGTCACAATAATTATCTTTCTCCACAATTAATCAAAATGCTCACGTTTTTTTATAAAAAAAACTAATACATTAAAAATCAAACTCATGCATCATACACATTAACGCATCCATTAAGAGATAAACTCATGCACTACACACACTGAAGTATGCACCACTAATGTGTCAGTTTTATTAGCGTCAATGTTGTAGGACAAAGAAGAGGTGTCAGACACATTAACGCATCCATTAAGAGATAAACTCATGCACTACACACACTGAAGTATGCACCACTAATGTGCCAGTTTTATTGGCGTCAATGTTGTAGGACAAAGAAGAGGTGTCAATGATGCCTATGTGTATTCTCATTTTTTATAAATAAGTCATTTATTCCTTACCATTTTTCACACATCTTTTCATTTTATTCTTAAGTTTTTCTTTTAATTTTATAACATAACTATTAAAAGAGATGGATATGTTTGTTATTCGATTCTCAAACCTCCATTGAAAATCCGACTTTTGAACACCCATACTTTCGAGCATCTTGAGAGGAGTTTGATTCGTTGGTTAGATGAAGAGATTAAAGACAGTGAAATATTCAAAAAAATGATAAGCTTGTTTTGGTGTTCAACATTGCAAGTGAGGATAATATAGCACAACCTATGTGGGAGTCAATTAAAACTGGCATTGATATACATGTTATGATGTATGGACCAGGTGATATTATTTTGATGGTTGTAATCTCTTAGATATATTTTAAGTATTAAGTCCTTTTATTTGTTCTTTGTGTTGTTGTTTTAAACGTGTTTGTGTTCGTTTTGTTGTAAGTGAAAGTTGTTAGACGATGACACGGATCTAGAAGGGGGGGGGGGGGGGGGGGTTGAATAGATCCCTTGTTAAAAAATGAGTCGGCGCTACCAATAAAATGATTTTAAAAAATTTGTTTAATTTGCGGAAGCGGCCGTGGAAAATTACCGTCTATAACGAACGGTTACTAGAAAACCGGATATGGGTTTAGGTGATGGAATCGGATAACGAGTAATGAGAATCACTACGCTAGTCACACTCTCAATTTGATTTAGCTCACAATGTGGTATGACTAGTTCCAATGCCTTAAAACATTACCACAATAAATGGACAACACATAAGGCTTTTCGTTCAGGCAATTTATCAAACACTTGGAGTGCAGAGCACTACAAGTGAGTTCAGCTTTGAGTAATTTGCTCTAATTTCCTTGTACAATCAACGATTGTACTAGAGTCAAAAACAGTCCAACGCTTACTCAAAACAGTCCTAAATTTGATATAATTGCTTGTACTAAAACCACACAAATATTAAGAAATGTAAAAACGAAAGGTAAAAGGCACAAGGATTTGTTGAGGCAGTTCCCCCGTCGTCCTCGCTTCGAGGTACGTCTGCCCTCAATTCTAACAATAGAATTGAGCTCTTAAAATATAAATTTAACCTGTTGTAGAATCATATATACAAGAATGAAATAACAATCAAACAAACAAACTTCTTTGTTGTTGTAGAAGCTATCTCCTCTTGTCCCTTGATTCGAGTCGAATCAAGTCCTTCGACAACTTGTGTATGAACCTCAGATTACAGCTCTATGTTTGAATAACTTTCGTCTTCAAACCCTAGGCCGGCTGATCTCAAACACTCATGTGTCGAACCCGAACTTCTCCTTCACAATTCGCCGATTACTGCTACTAGACCGACGGAACCCACCACTCCTCTATCACCTTCACTCGGCCGAATATATGTTGAGAAGACTCGTCCAAAAACCCTCAAATTCAGAGAATCTTGGAGGACAAAACCTTAGAGGTTTTATTCAAGAAAAACTTGTCAGTTCCTCAACCCAAACCGGATTTACCCAATCAAGGCTTCGAACGTTATCACCTTAGATAATCCATAATGCACAACAAAGATTCTTGTGTGTGATTGTTGTGGTATGAAATGTAGAAGATGAAGATGATGAGAACTTGAATTGACACCTCTTTCACTTTTCTTGTTTTTGTAATTGTTTAATTGATGTGAAATGAATAGAGTAACTGAATATTTATACCAGACAAAAGTGTTATAACTGATAAAACCAACTTTAAAAAATAATAGACAACTCAAAAAATATGCAGCAAACAACGAGCGGTCGACCCATGCAGAGTGCAGGGTCGACCTGAGCTAACCCGAGGCAACATATTGTGCAAAACACACAGCTATGCGTCGACTGGAACAAGGCATGCATCGATGCAAAGCCTGAATTTTTTGACAAATGCAAATGACAACAGTATGCGTCGACCAGTAGGTCGACCATACCTAACCCGAGGAAAATGCATTTCTAAGACACTTGCCATGAGTTGACCGGAGCAGAGTTTAGGTCGACTCAAAGACCTGAATTTTTAGAGAAATGCAAATGACAACAGTATGCGTCGACCGGTACGTCGACCATACCTAACCCGAGAAAAATGCATTTCTAGAACACTTGCCATGAGTCGACCGGGGCAGAGTTTAGGTTGACTCAAAGACCTGAAACTTCAAAAAATGCCTAAATTCATATTTTTGATTCTCTTAGATGAAACCTATGATAGACCAATTGATTTTGACTCGTATGACGCATGTAACACCCTTTTCTACCCCATAAATAATAAGGCAAAATAACACAAATATCAGAGTAATTATTAAATTTCACAAAAAGCCACCAAAAGGGCGTACATTTCCCAATGTCATCAAAATAGGTCACGGCTCCGTAAACAATGGGTTTTTCCCAAAATACATCAAACAACATAAAACAACGGAATTCAAAATGCATAAGTAAAGGTTTTCCTTATCATGGGACATAAGCAAAATAACTCAACAGTATATAGTTTAACTCAAAGAACCCAACCCGATGTTACATATCAGAGCAAGACCCTCTAAGTTAACCAAAAGGGCTAACGACTCAAAACTTCAAAAATAATTCCTCGACGGTATCCACGGCTAAACTCGGTCATCTGCACGTTACCCACATGGAGGTAACATTCAAATAGGCAGGGTGAGTAAAACAATTCATAAAAATCAATGTATGAAAATCAACATATAATGGCATCATAATAATATTCAACCTTCATATTCATCAATAGGCCTCGAAGGCCACAACATCATAATTTATACAAAAAGACTCATAAATACAGATGCGACACAACTCTGATCAAGTTATCTGTCTTGGATTCTTCTGCACCACTCAAAGCAAACACTCTGCCATTTGTCTGAGCAGCAGTAGCAGTCTTCTTCGGCTATTGACACTAGGTACTGATATGACCCTTCTCTCCACAGTTGAAGTAAGTCGGAGCTTCGTCTTTACAGTCAGTAGCTCTATGACCCCTCTTGCCACAACGATGGCATCTCAGCGCTCTGCAATTCTCAGCATGGTGGCCTTGCTCGCCACACTTATAACACTTACCTGGAGCAGTAGCCGCTCCCCCACTTGACGTTTTCCCATCTGAAGCCTTCTGCTTCCCCTTATCACCAGAAGTCATATACGACTTCCTTCTATACTGACCTTTCTCTTTCTTCTCACTCAGCTGCTTGTAGTGAGTAGATTGAGCTCGACTATCTTCATCATAAATTCAGCTGGTACCCAATTCCCTGCTTAATCTCTGGTCTCAACCCATTCTCAAACTTGAGACACTTTGACATCTCTGCATCAGCACGGTTGTAATGCGGATAAAACTTGACCAAAGACTCAAAATTTGTCGCATACTCAGCCACAATCATATCCCTTGTTTCAGCTCAAGAAATTCCACCTCTTTTTTCCCCGAACATCTTCAGGAAAATACTTCCTCAAAAATTCTTCCTTGAATATAGCCCAAGTTATAGCAATGCCAGCATCTCCCAATCTCTGACGAGTGTTATCCCACCAGTCTTTTGCTTCCTCTGCTAGCATATGCATACCAAACTGTACCTGCTGCGCATCAGTGCACACCATAACTCGGAAAATCTTCTCAATCACTTTCAGCCACTTCTGCACCATCAGGATCATGAGTGCCCACAAAAGTCGGCGGATTGTTCCTCTGGAACTTTCCCAAAGCACGGAACTCATCTGGAGGTCCACCATTCTGAGCCATCACTTGGGCAAGTGATTCTAGCGCATCAGCAATAACACGATCATTCCTTCCAGCCATCTGCAACCACACACAAGGTTAGAAGAAAACAACTCATCAATAGTGTTTTCAAACTATTGACTGACAGGAGACTAACAACGTAAAAACTTGGCCGGACGGACCGACCTGCTCTGATACCAATAATGTAACACTCTTTTCTACCCCACAAATAATAAGGCAAAATAACTTAGATATCAGAGTAATGATTAAATTTCACAAAAAGCCACCAAAAGGGCGTACATTTCTCAATGTCATCAAAATAGGTCACGGCTCCGCAAACAACGGTTTTTTTTTCCCAAAATACATCAAACAACATAAAACAGCGGAATTCAAAAGGCATAAGTAAAGGTTTTCCTCATCAAGGGACATAAGTAAAACAACTCAACAGTATATAGTTTAACTTAAAGAATCCAACCCGATGTTACATATCAGAGCAATACCCTCTAAGTTAACCAAAAGGG